TACCGTTACTCGTTCGTAGTATATATAGTATATATATATATATATTATATATATATATATATATATATATATAAACGCAGTGTACATGTCAGCCACCTGTAGACGGGTGGGTGGGGGTGGGTTAGAGGAGTAACTAAGCAACGGCACAATCGATTGGTGGACTTTGGTGTGGAAAGCGTGGATCCAGAGGGGTAGACCATATACACAAGGTATGGTCGTTAGTATGTAATGACGTAGGTGACTTAGGTGTGGTAGGTAGGATAGATACACACCGTATGGTCGTTAGTATGTAATGACGTACGTGACTTGGCTGTGGTAGGTAGGATAGATACACACCGTATGGTCGTTAGTTTGTAATGACGTAGGTGACTTGGCTGTGATAGGTAGGATAGATACACACAATACAGACGCTGTCGTTTGCAAACGCATCATGTACTGTGTTGGTCGCCACAGGTGCGAGCACAGAGAGTCCGTCGCAACGGTACGACTGCCTATAGCTCAATGCAAAGCGTTTGTTGCTACGAGTAGCATATTTCGTAGCCCAGTGAAAGTCTTCAGTTGTACATACGAGACACGTGTAGGCTAGACAATCTGGACCCTATAGTAACCCCAACAGCACTGAGACAGAACACCACCAGACGTACCAAGCGATTCACCACCAATACACTACAACGCAAAGGCAGCCACGAAGTACAATATGAAGCGAAACCAAAAAACACTCAGAAGTCGATTGGGTTTTAGGGTTTGGGGATCAGGGTTTCCTAACCCTAAACCCCTAAGCCCAAGTGCTAACCCATCTGCACGCTCCCTCAAACCCCAAACACCGGTACACCACCCGTACCTTAGCCTGGATCATCTGAAACTCGCCGATGTTTTGCCCAAACTGCTCGCGCGTGTGTACATACGGCAGAGTCACGTCCAGTGCTGCGGCCATTAGGCCCAGCGGCCCACCGGACAGAACAATACGCTCGTAGTTCAGTCCACTCATCAGCACTTTGGCGCCGTTACCTACACCGCCCAAGACATTCTCTTCCGGGACCTCGACGTCCTCGAAGATCAGCTCAGAGGTGTTTGAGCCTCGCATGCCTGTGAGTGAGTGTGGGTATGGGTGGATAGGTGTGAGTGAGTGTGGATATGAGTGGATAGGTGTGAGTGGGTGTGGGTGTGGGTGGGTGTGGGTGGGTGGGTGTGAGTGAGTGTGGGAGGGTGGGTGTAGTAGGGGTGTGTAGTGAAACACGTGGACCGAGTTGAACCGATGGATATGTTTAACGAGGAAATGTATGTGTACATATGGACACCCATATCGACACTTTGGCCTGCGATGTTTGAATAGCAGCCATACACGTGTATACGCACAGGGAAAAGTCTATACAGTACACTTCTAGGTAGATATATGTCTGCCCAGTGACGTGCTAGAGGCATGTTGAGTAGGCACACGTCAGTCGTGCCTGTCTCTAAGAGTTGTAGCGCAATACCATCGCACAAGTGGATAGATGCAGCTCTATAGATATATACTCGCACGCAACGGAACTAGCAGTGGGTGCTTCATGATTCCTCGGCCATCTTGGCAGCCATGCATGGAAACCGCAGGAATGTAAGCCGTAACAACAACCCCATCTTATACGGCTTCATTCGTGCAGTTGATGCAATTGCTTCCAAATAACCTAACCCGCTTGTATACGATATATATCATATGTGTGTATATAGGTGTATATAATATGTGTGTGTATATAGATATATATCATATGTGTGTGTATATAGATATATATCATATGTGTGTGTATATAGATATATATCATATGTGTGTGTATATAGATGTCTATCATATATATGTATGTATAGATATATAGCATGTGTGTGTATATAGATATATATCATGTGTGAATATATAGATATATATCATATGTGTGTGTATATAGATATATATACAATATGTGTGTGTATATAGATATATATCATATGTGTGTGTATATAGATGTATATCATATATGTGTGTATATAGATATATACCTTGTGTGTGTATATAGATATATATCATATGTGTGTGTATATAGATATATATCATACGTGTGTGTATACAGATATATCATATGTGTGTGTATATAGATGTATATCATATATGTGTGTATATAGATATATACCTTATGTGTGTGTATATAGATATATATCATATGTGTGTATATAGATATATATCATACGTGTGTGTATATAGATATATATCATACGTGTGAATATATAGAAATATATATCATATGTGTGTAAATAGATATATATCATATGTGTGTGTATAGATATATATCATGTGTGTGTATATAGATATATATCATATGTGTGTGTGTAAAGAAATATATCATACGTGTGTGTATATAGATATATATCATACGTGTGTGTACATAGATGTATATCCTATCCTCCCATTACAGGTCTGAGTCTAGTCCCCATTCCCGTTCACATATCTTATCTACAAACACACCTAGCTTGTCCAGCTTTAGTCCAGTGGAGAACCCCTTCATAGTCTTCTCGACAATGAACGCTGTGATACCCTTGGAGTGTGCTTTCATGTCTGTCTTGGCGTATACCACCAGTGTGTCTGCATCGGGACCGTTGGTGATCCAGAACTTGTTACCGTTGAGTACGTACCGGTCCCCTTTCTTCTCGGCGGTCAGTTTCATGGACACTACATCCGACCTGAAATGGTAATTAGGACAAGGCCGAGGGCAATGTGAGTACAATGGACAACGGATCCGGTCTGACGCAATGCAACAGACCTGAAATGGCACTCCGAAACTCAAAAAAATAAATGGGTTTCAAAATAGTTTTGGGCGAGTGAGACTTTGCATGCACGCTGTACACGTGGTAGGATGTTATCGTATTTAACGTTTTTAACTTCACGTACATGTGTGTGGTGTAGCGACGAGGGTGTGCGCGGGAGATAGGTTGTCGCCGTCAAGCGCAACATCAAACACTCCGAAGAAAATAACTCGTTTAACGCGTTCAACACATATCACGCGGACGTACGCGCGCCTCATACGAAGACATACTGCCGATCACTTGTCCTTCCACTCCTATGTACTTAAAGCCCACCCACACGTTACCCAACCATACGCCTACCTACAACTCCCCTCCCCCATGACTCACACCTGGGCAATCCGTCCATAGGAGCTCTGCCGCAAAACTGTCGCACTGTATCTTTGGTATGGTTGCGCACGCACTAAATAACACTCAGGTTGCTATAAAACCCTTAACCCCTGAACGATAAATAACACTCAGGTTGCTAAACCCCTGAACAATAAATACCATTCAGGTTGTTATAAACCCTAGGGCCCCGAAATCCTAAATAACACTCAGGTTGCTATACGCACCGTGGCTACTTGCGACCCCGTCAGCGGCACCAATCGTATCATAGCAACTGACTACATCTGACAACAACCAGATGGTGAAGACACGGGCACATCCACAACTGAGCTAAACTAAACTAAACTAAACTAAACTAAACTAAACTAAACAACTAAACTAAACTAAACAACTAAACTAAACTAAACTAAATTAAACTAAACTAAACTGGACTGAACTAAACTGAACTGAACTAAACTGAATTAAACTAAACTTAACTGGACTAAACTGAACTGGGAGTGTGCACACATGATACAACATGTTGCATCACATCACATCACATCTCGAATAACGCCACACCACGTACCCGGCTCCGGGCTCGCTCATGGCCAGCGCACCCATGTGCTCTCCCGAGATAAGCTTTGGTAGGTACTTGTCTTTCTGGTCTTTGTTTCCGTTACGGACGATCTGATTAACGCACAGATTACTGTGGGCCCCATAACTCAGAGCCACGCCACCCGCCGCACGAGACATCTCTTCGATGGCTAGCGTCTGCTCGAGGTAGCCCAGGCCAAGGCCTGTGTGTATGTTTTAGGGTTTAAGAGGGTTTAGGGTTTACTAAAGGCCTGTGTGTATGTTTTAGGGTTTAGGGGTTAGGGTTTACGAAAGGCCTGTATGTATGTTTTAGGGTTTAGGGGTTTAGGGTTTACTAAAAGCCTGTATGCATAGGGACATGCACGGAAGTGGGGGTGTTGTCAGTATATGCGCACGTGTGTGTGGAAAGATAAGTCGTACGTGGATGTGGTTTGGATCGCGTGCTTGTGTTTCGAACCATGTGGATGAGTACCGAACTACCTCCCAGTATAAAGTGATCTGCAAACATACTCACAGCAAGAAGGGTGCGTTATACGATCAAGAGCGTTGATGCGAATAAACATGTAGCAAAACGTCAAACATACAGGATCAAAATATTTCAACACAATTGAATGTACCTCAGCATAATAACATAGTACGTGTGGTATATACGTACACTCAGTTCGAAGATTTATAAAAGTGGTGACATGCGTGATAAACAGAATCGACGCATATATATATATATATATATATATATGTGAATAAATATATATATATATGCATATATATATATGTATATATATATATATACATATATGTATGTATATATATATATATATAAATATATGTGTACATATATAAAT